GATTTAAAGTGATAGTTGTTAAAGTAATAAATTTGAGTTATTTAATGGTGTGGATTTTCTCTTCTAATTATTTTTATCTAATAAAGTGCTATACTAAGTTCCCAGGAGTCAGAGCTGCCATGTGCAGAGAGTTAGTAGAGAGCTTTAAAAGATTGCTCTGGAACATAGCATTTATGTTAGTGTTTTACAAACAAAATACAATATAAAACAACATGTAAATTTGAAAGGCTCCAATGTTCACTAAATTGGAAGATTTTTCTCCCACCAGTGAGAAAATTTTACTTTTATTTCCTCAAGGGATTTTAACTTAAATTTTTAAATCTAGCCTGCTTTGCTTTTCAGATAATTCTGAATACATATGTTTTTATGTAATTTTTTTCTTCTTTGGGCGGATGATGGTTGAGTATAGGAGAGACTCTAGATTGTGGGATCATTTGAGAGTTTCTGCTGTGGTCTGAATGTGACATGTGTTGATATATTTACTACCAGAGTTGTCATAGTATTAGGAGGTGAAGTTTGAGAGAGGCGTCAAGTCATGAGGGTGGCGCACTTTCGAATGGAATTAGTGCAGTTTCATTCCAGAGCAATGAATCTCCATTCACTGAAATGTGATCCTCCATCAGTGCCACTTACTACCCCCAGAGTCTACTTCTGATGTGTATCTAAGTGTGACTTCTTCACCCTTGGAACCTGTGCTCACGCCATGCTACTGAGCAACACCTTTCCCCGTGAGTCAGTGGCGTAAGGAAGCACTGACTTGTCCTGCACTGTTCCAGTGAGGCAGGAATTTGTGAGCACTTAGCAGGCTGTCTCCTAAAGCTAGAGCTAGAATGATAGCCAGGGTTGTGACCGACGCTGGGCTGCCTTTGGATAGAGAAAGTACTTTAAAGGTGAGTCACTCAAGTGGCTGTGAGGTCAGTGCTAGCAGTGGGCAGGAGGCCCTGGTTCCTCACCAGACAGGCTGCTCCTTTACTGCTTGAATGTCTCATGATGGGCTGCTCACTTTCTAGAGGGCTCATGATGTGCAGAGAGCACAGACAGAAGCCGAGATGTCTTTTCTGATGGGTATCTAAAGTCATATAGTGTCATTTCTGCAACTGTCCCCATGCACATAGATCAACTCACTGTGAAAGTGAATAACGCAGGAGACAAGGATCATGGATGGCAGATTGGAGGCTGCTTACCATAACCTGTTAATGTTTTGTATGTCTTTATACAACTTAAGATATTGAGCCCTGTATGACAACTGTTTTTGTCCTCCTGCTTCTCCACCAGATTTGTACTTCTCTGAGATTTTGGACTCAATTCCTTATCTGATGTTTGTTGAAATTTCTAGTACATTGTATTCAATGTATGTCACATTCATTGAGAAGTTGGGACCACAGTTTCTCTCTCAATGAGTGTGAATGAAGAGGCACATGCAGGAAAAGTTAAAGAGCAACAGAGAGACTTATTTGATGAGGAGAAGGAGAGAGAGTGAAAAATGAGCTAGAAAGCAGATTCAATTTCACATGCTACTATGTAAATATGAAAACATCAATGACATTTCTACAGATACTAGAGATCTAATTTATCAGGGTTTATATGTTTGGAATACCGCGCAATGCTATTCTACTTTATGTAATACTTGTGGATGATTTGCCATTTTTGTTTTTACTAAAACCCCTGCAATTATGCTTACTATTCTGTGAATAAAGGGTCTGTGGATTACTCTTATTTTTTTTTAAATTTATTTTAAAAATAAAAGAAGGAAAACATATTAACAAGCAGATATCCTGGATTACTCTTTTAATAAAAACATAGGGACCATTGCTTACAAATAACTTCAGTAATTTCAAGTAAAGCATTTATAATTCTTTGTACATGTGATTAAGAACTTTATTTAACCTTTAATTAACTGCTCTATAACCTGGCTTATTGGGGTAAAATCATTTGTAGATTGATCAATTAACATTTATATATAATTTGAGCAAAGGGCACAGAGGAATGTCAGGAGGAACAAAAGACCCATGAGAAATAAGTCCTGAAAAGTCCTCCTCAGAAATGTCACTCCCATCCATCTTTTCATTTCCACCCTGTAGTCACCACCACACTGTGGTCCAGTTCTTTAGTAGCTCATACCTAAATTGCTAATCTGACCTCCCAGTACTTTTCACTTTCAGCTTCTTTCCTTCCAAACTTTTTTCAGAGTTAAAATTACTAAAACTTCATTCCCCTCCCATGCTTAAAAACTTCCTTAATCTGTTGGGCTATTATAGCAAAATACCAGAAATTGGGCAGCAGATAAATAACAAGAATTTATTTCTTATTGTTCTGGAGGTTAGGAAGTCCAAGATCCACTGCTACCAGATTGAGTCTGTGTCCTCACCTGGTGGAAGGAGCAAGGGAGACTTCTAAGGTCACTCTCATAAAGGCACTAATTCCATTCAAAGTGCGCCACCCTCATGACCTGATGCCTCTCTCAAACTCCGCCTCCTAATACTATGACGGCTCTGGTAGTAAATATATCAACACATGTCACATTCAGACCACAGCAGAATCTGTCAATTGGTCCCACAATCTAGAGTCTCTCCTATACTCAACCAGAATCAGGCACTGTCCTCAAATCTTTTCTTCTTTTCTCCCATTCTATTCCTGATGTATTGTTTCTATCACCCCATCTGATTGTTTATTTCAAGAATTCTCCATGTCTGTGTTCTCCCTCTACCCAGAAACCACTTTTACTTTCAGTGCTCCAGTATCGGACCATCACCTTCCTTTAAATCCATCTCAGATTCCCTGGTGGAACCATCCTGACTCATTAATTCCCCTTTCTCTTAACTTCTGTGCAATCAAAATTTGATGACTACATATCTTTCCTTATGTAAATCTTATATCCATACCTTATAGCCACATATTTAAGTCTGACTGTAGCTGACTGCTGTAACTTTATGTTTTTATTTTTGCTTCTTCTACAGGGCTGTCTCTCAGCTTTCTTTTAGTTTTGTTCTATGTGAATATTTTTACAGATGTTCTAATATTTTCTCCAGAATTTCCATGTGTTGAGATCAGATTAGATGTCTGTAAGACTTAGTCTGTCACTGTGTCAAAGCAAAATAAAGTAATGTTCACATAACTTATATATGAAAGAAGAAGGTAAATGTAGCAACTATATCAGGTGACAGAGTGAATGAAACAGGTGTGTACATGTGCATTAAGGGGATGACAGGTGAGAAAGAGGAAAATGTTATATTTTATCATCTTTGACGGAAATTTGTTAAAAGAGGAAAGGTTGGAAGTTTGGAGCGGTTTATGCCCAGTTAATTATGGCCCTGGAAGTAGGGAATAAAGCTATAAAAGGACTTTAGTAGGTTCAGAGAAGGGACACACATGGAACATATAGGGATTCTTGTTCAGAATAAGCTGACCAATTGCCAGTAGATCTATATGTTAACGGTCCAAAGTGGAATATTTTTCCACTTTGTTTTGTAATAGATATAGCTTTAAAATAAGTGGGGTAACAGAATTTTTGAAAGCTTCTAGTTTCTAAGAAACTATCTTCTAAAATATTAAAATTTAATATCAATTCTGTTAGTGAAAAGGCTTTTGAGGAGCTCTTAAAGCTGCTAAGAATCAGGTACAAATGAGCATGTTTATTCTGTATTTTGTTATCATTACATAGGGAATAGACTTATCTAAATTGACTCTAATAATGCTCTTATTATTAAGATTGCTTTTGGACTGATCTCAAATTAATATATTCAATTTTTTTCTTTTTGACAGAAACATGTATACTGAATTTGCCAGCAAAACCACATGGTTTTTCAGTAGATTTATTTTCCTATAAAGTGTTCAAAGGAAATTCAAAAATTTGTATATGGGATTGATTATAATTTGAGAAACTGAATATTTGAATGGAATGGAGGTGACATAATAGACAGACTCTTACAGTAGAAAAATCCTGGTTGGATGATTTTTATTTCTATACTTTTCTATTTGCCTACAAAATGTGACTGACTGTTGAACATGCCTACTTTGGTGCAGTCATAAATTTTCTTTTAATGTTGGGGAAGTTCAGATTTTACATATCAGTAAAATTAAATTCAAGAGATATTTATTTAAAATCTTATAATTCCTAGTAGTATGGGAATACCAACATAGACACAGTACCTACTTCTAAGGAGATCATAGTCTATTGGAGAGAAGAAATTCATCAGTATTATGATGCAATAATGGTCAGTAGAAACAGATAAAATGGATGGGGTAATTTAGTGAGTCAATTGGCAGTTATTCAGCAGGGAACACTTCCAGAAAGTGATTATGCTTAAGTGAAGTTTTGAACAATTGATTGATAAGTATATTGACATAAAAATGTAAACTAGACACATCAGCATTCTAAATAGTTTATAGGGTGCCTCCAATGTTTAGATGCAGCCTTGGTACCTGTTATGGGTTGGTCTAGATGTCCTCTCAAAGCCTCATATGGTCATAGGTGGGGCTTCTCAGAGATGGCTGGATCTAAAGTATGTGATGCTGGGATCAAGGGTATGTGAATACTAAATTAGTATGCTGATTGGTTTGGCATAGTTCTGCAAGTTGACAATTGGAAGACCTTCTCTGAGTGTGAGTGCTACCTGCCCTAATGTTGAGTAGCCTGGATAGAATATAATGAACAGAAAGAGCTGCTATGGTTACTTGCTGCTTGCTGCTTTTGCTGCCTTCTTCCTGCCATGAACTGTTTCTCCCCCATGATGCCCCTCTGCCATGCTACCCTGCCTTGGAGCCGGCCAACTATGAACTGAAACCTCTGCAAATTGTGAGCTGAAATAAACCTTTCCTCTTACGACTTTGGGTGCCAGGTATTTTGTCTTAGCAATCAGAAAAGTGCCTAAAACAGTACCTATTAGCCCAGCTCTAAGCAGCTGTGTAGTCTAAGCACTACTACAGAAATTGTTTGAAAGTATACCTTGTTTTTCCACCCATAGAGGCCCTACTGGAAACATTTTTCTTTATCTGTGCAGGAGCCCTGTTCTGGTTTTCCCGTGTAACCATCGCCACGTGATTTGCTTAGACTGTTTTCACTTGTATTGTGTGACCAGACTCAACGATCGGCAGTTTGTCCATGACCCTGAGCTTGGCTACTCTTTGCCTTGTGTGGGTAAGTCTAGCTCTTTGGTGGTTTTTGGTTTTGTTTTTTGCATTTTTAATGCTAACTAAGAACAGAAAAAGAGCCACTGAAGTAAAACTATCTTAGATGTATCTAATTCATAGGGGTTGGAAATTTACATTTGGTCACTGCTGAGTAAGAAATATTCATGGTTGGATCTCAAAAGATATAAAATATCACAGAGTACTGTGTTGAACTAGAAAATGTATAACTTCTATTAAATCCTTGAAAATAAATTTGGAAGTATAACTCAGCTATGGAAGGAAATACGCTGTAGATAGACTGACCCTACAAGTTCTGGGTTTGTTATCTGGATTTGGAGCAATTACACTCAGATTTTACACTGTGTACCCCAGCACTAAAAATGTTGAGCACATACTCAGTATGTATGAAAGAACATATTTGAAAAAAATTAAAGAAGAATGAGTTAAATCTGAACTGTTTAAGATTTAATATATTTTTGTTATTTAACATTATAAAACCTTTTTACTTTTACTATACTATTATCACAAATATTATTTTAATTGAAATGAATCTAATATTACATACAATTGACCATTTAATGTGAATGATTCTATAGTATTTGACACAATCACAATGATGTACCACCACCACCTCCTGCTCATCTCAAAATGTTTTCCTTATCTCAGAAGAGCAACCCATACTCACGAGTCAGTCACTTCCTTTTACCCTAGACCCAGGCCCTGTCCATCACTAATCTGCTTTCTGTCTCTATAAATTAGCCTATCATGGATATTTGCTTAAAATGGAATCATACAGTGTGTGGCCTTTGTGTGCCTTATTTTACTCAGCCTTATTTTTGTTTTAGGGTTCAGCTATGTTGTGGCTTATGTCAGTACTTTACTCCTTTTTATGGCTAGGTAACATTCCAGTATAGGGCTTCACCATAAATGTTTATTCATTCATCTGTTGATGGGACTTTGCGTTGTTTCCACCTTTTGACTATTGTAAATAATGCTCCTATGAACATTTATGTGCGGGTATCTGGGTGGTCATAATTCTTCATCTGTGTAGAAGCAGAATTCTGTATGTAACCTTTTGCAACACTGAGAGTTCATCCAAATGTGCCACACCATTTTATATTGCCTCCACCAACAAACACACCTTCCTATCCCTCCAAATCTTTGTCAGCACTTGTTATTGTCTTTTTTAACTAGTCATTTTCAGAAATGTGAAGTAATATGTACAGCAGATTTGATTTTCATTTCCTTAGTGACTGGCAATGTTGAATATCTTCCCTTGTGTATGTTTACCATTTATAATCTTCTTTCCAGGAATATCTACTTAGTACTGTCCTTATTTTTAAACAGGGTGGTTTGTCTTTTTGACACTGAGTTGTGAAAATCTTGACATATTCTGGATACAGGACCCTTATCAGATTTAAGATTTACAAGCATTTCTCCCCTTCTGCAGATTGTTTTTTCACTTTCCTGATAATGTTCTTTGATTTGATTTTATTTTTTTTGTTTTGTTTTGTTTTTTTGGTTTTTCTCCGGTACCGGGAACCGAACTCACGACCTTGCGCTTGCCAGGCAGGCGCTTTTGCCGCTGAGCTAAACCCCCAGCCCCTGTTCTTTGATTTTAAAAAAACTAGTTTTGAATTGGGATGAAGCCAAATTTATTTATTTTTCTTTTATTATTGTGATGTGAAGTATAATAATCTCTTGCTATAAACAAAATTATGATGATTTATCCCATGTTTTCTTCTAATAGCTTACCTCTGATATTAGGTCATTGATCCATTTAGAGTTAAATTTTGTATGGAATATGAGAGTAGTCCTTATCTCTCTGTATGTGTGTGTGTATATATATATAGTGACTTTTATGTGATTATATATGTTTCATTGATTTTGAAAATTCTAGTTTGAAACTATATTCTACCCTCATTCATTGGTCTAGTTTAAGTTTAATTTCAGTATTCAGTTTTAATTTCAATAAAAATATACCTCAAAATGACAGATTCCAATAGTACAGGATAACTGTATTGTTAACTTTAAGTCATGACACTTATTTTTCAATAATGTTTACCAAATAGTACAGTTTTTTTATTGAGGTTCACTTAATATATGTGTCACAATATCAAGGAAAATTCACTGCAGGATATTATGCTTTTATATTTTTAACAAAAGCTTGCAAAATCCAGAGAAGTAATCATGTGCAGACTGGAAACTCTTCTGCTTTTCTAACGAGGTGGTTTGTATCGGTAAATTCTGTTCTTCACAAAGCACGTGCTATGGAGACACTTCTCAATGCCCACTTCCAAGTCTTCTCTTCACACTTAAGACACATTTCAATAATCAGTTTCAGTTTTCAATCATCTTAAGTGTTGGCCTTTTTATTATAGAAAATTTCACACATACAAAACTAAAGAAAAATTCTACAATAAAGCCTCTAATGCCCATTAGCCAGGGTTTGTAACATAACAAGATTTGTAGGTTTTTCCCATGGTTCTTATCCAGTGACATGGAACCAGCCATGTTCCCATCCAAGGAACAGCCCTCGAGGTCACTGTGTGCTCATTGTTCTTGACTGCCACTGTTTCCAGCTAAGTTGAAGAAACTAGGAGACACATTTTTAAAGTACAAACTACAATATTCATTATACTGTATGTATTTTTAGCTCAAATTAAGTTTATGGAATTTTCATTTAAAACAGTATTATTACTGCTTTCTCCCTTGGCAAAAAACTTCTTACTAAGTGATATCAGCACAGTGTCTTGGTTACTTTTCTTTCATTGCAGAGACAAAATACCCAATGGCCAAAATGAAGGAAGGAAAGGTTTATTTAGCTTACAGTTTGTGGAGGTTTCAGTCCATACTTGGCTGGCTCCGAGGCAGAAGGTAGCAAAGCAACAAGAGCAAAGGGGGGAATGGCAGCCGAACGGCAAAGCAGCCAGAGCAAAAAGGGAGGGATGGCGCCAAGCAGCTTCTTTTCCCTCCCTTACGTTGTAAACAGGCTACCCCCACCTAAGGGGCATGTAGCTCTCACATAATCTCCATGCCCTCCTCTGCCACAGGCTCAGGACGTATACAAAGTAAGCACCCTGGCTTCCTGCTGAGTCACTTAGCCAAACCTCTAGACTCCCCAAGTTGACACAGTGTATCAACCATAACACACAGTTATCCATGTACATTTTTCTTGGCCTCATTTTTTCCATTATAAAGTATTATATTCTAGAGATCACTTCTAAGTAGTATATAAATATTTTCTCCATGTAAAAGATAGCATCATAGAATGAAATACACTATGTAGCAGGTTTACTAAAGTATATAAATATACTTTACTTTCCTGTTATTGTTGGGTGTAGTTTTCATTTTTTATTACAAATATTGCTATAACTAATAGAGTTATGTGCACATATATTTTCATTTTGTCAGCGTATCACTGAGATAGATTCCCTGTAGGAGGTGTTACTGTAGAAAAAGGAAAATGTGTACTTATTTACTGTTTCCAGATTCCTTCTCAATAGCTGTGACTTGTCATTCCCACCTGCAAGGCTAAGAACAACAGCTCCTCCCCTGCCTCACCAGCGGAGGAGCCAGAGAACTTTGTTGCTATTGTTGTTGTTTTCCTAGTCACATAAGATGTGGAATTTCCATTTGTTTATCTTTTATTTAAAAAAAAAAAAAATTGAACACTTTTTTTTACATGTTTAAACTCTTTTTTCTTTATTGTTTTAAAAGTATCACCTTTTCTTCAAGGGACAGGTTAATGAACATCTTCTTTGCAAAAATGTCATCTATGTAGCACACCAGGTTAGCAAACTTGGATCGCTAATTTTTCACAAAGAACATGTGTAAATTGGCTTTAGTTTTGCCTGTCTGTGCTATGAAGTAACTAGCAACCTCTGTGAGAAAGTTTTACCTCCTCAAACTCTACATCATTAAAAATGCATGGTATAGGTTCAACTATTGTCTAGTTGTGATTTAAATACCTTTTAGAAAATTAATTTATTTTGTTTTTAAGTGTGTCAATGACATCCTTAGAATCTTAAGCACTCATAGATTAAGCTCTTTGTTTTAATAGTGGGTGAGGCAGGGGATGAATAAATTTCAAATATGCTACTTTATAATTTTTCTTCAGTATTTTTAAAATAACTGCGTGATTATTGCTACCTCATTACTGGTTAAACATAAATCTTAGAAATTTGCATATATTTTTTAAAAGTTTCCTACTTATGAGAACTTAAAAGCTACATATTTGTCTATTTTTCTATTAAAAATATAAAGCAAATAACTACAAACTGAGAAAGGTTAGAAACACTGCCTCATCATCCATCCATGTAGTAAACCTTCTACATAGTGTATTTCATTCTAGTACTTGTTTTTTTTTTCATATTTTCAACCTATTTTAAAATACAACCCTAATAGTGTCTAATGTAAGAAAATGTAGTTCCACCTGATGTTTTCACAGTACTGTTTATCATTAATTATGTTAAACTTTGAAAAATTTTAATTTACTGTGGCTCCAGTTATAGATGTTTCCCCACATTATGTATAAAGAAGCTTTCAAACGTTAGGGACTGCATGTGTGTGTACGTGTGTGTGTGTGTCTAAAAACTAACCTAATTATCCTTAGTATTTGCTCAATAGAGGCTCTCTTCATTTATTCCTTGCTTGGCACTTAGATGTGTTCTAAGCATAACAGTTCCATGTACTCCTTAGCCTGTGCCTCAGACCAATGACACAGTCTAGCCAGGGTCACCCCTCAGGGATGATGGTTCCTGCAACCTCAGCTTTGTGGTTCTCTCTTTCTTCTTGTGCCAACAGTATTGGTTCTATCTTCAATTAATGGTTTCTGCAGGATTATTTTTAAGTCACTTTCTGCTTTAAACTGCTTAGCTTAAATGAGACAATTTATCCATGATTCTTCTAGTGAAGAGCAGTCACCTACTGAAGGTAATAGGCAGGAGAGGGCTTAGAGTCCTGCTGTCCCCTGTTCTGTTGTACATGCTCAGTGGACACACAAGC